CGATCACTTGCATTTTTTTCTTATAACAGTGGAAACAACCGTCATTTTTGCTCATAAAGGTAAGAGTAATACATCATTCGGGACTGTTAAGGGTCTACTTTTATTTGTGTGCACTCACAATATCAGCATACGTTGTGCTTTTTTAGAAAACAAACAGGATACGCTTTCTGCTGTCTCGGTCTTGAGCAGGAGCGCTTCACAAAAATGAACCGAAACCCTGCGAATATTCTATTTCCCCTGGGGCATTCATCATGGTAATTACTTGCTGGCGTTTTGCGGCAAGCTTTGCGTGCGCTTTAACATGGAACTCTTCCAGCACTCGCTGCTGCTGGACACTAAACACCATCCGAGCCACTCTTGACAGTCGCGCTAGCACGGTCTCGTGTTGTTTCCACCAGCGCGGCAAATCTTTGTCATCACCATAATAATTGATGGATATCTAAAATATAAAAATAAGGAGGAAGCAAGCCTGATGCCTGGCCCGTGTCTGAGCTATGACGTGAAAATTGTCCCGAAGCCATAAATAAGTTGGGGCCGTTGGGCTCGGGCTGAAATGCAGGGCTCTAAAGCGCAGCTTGTTGCATTTAAACAGCAAAAATACACACAAAATGACACAAAAATGGCCATCCTGGCCACACAGTTAAATAAACGATAATATTCAGTGATGTGATATGTGAAATGTGGAGTAACGTCTGGCGCAGTTGCAGCTTGTACTTTATTGAGATGCACCTGTATATATATATATATATATATATATTAAGGATTGTGAACATAATTGATTTTTCCTATTGATTATTGAATAATAGATTAAATCCTATTGCTGAACTGTCAAATAATTGACAACAGCAACACTGTTTTATACTGTTTGTGCATGCACAACAGTTTTATACTGTTTGGGGGGGAGCACATTTTCCTCATTAGGTCATTTATCTTTTTTTTTTTTCCTTGTAGGTTTGGTCCTACTTATCAAACTGCAGAGCATTTTATAGAAAGAAGAAACTTTCTCTCCCACCCTTTACTATTTGCTTTCTGTCTCTCACTTTCAACCCCCCATCTCATAACCAAACGTCCCGTTGACTGCATTCGTTGTGAGGGGGGTTGAACGTGCAACCCTGAAAGGACCCCAGTCGTCATGTTTCAACTAGACGTCAGGAAGGCGTGGCCAGAGCCTCACCTTCAGTGTTGGCCAATCAGAGCGCAGCCGGCTTCTCTTGAAAGCCTCTTGAGCTGCAGATATAAAACCGCCTCTGTGGGCTGATGCAATACTGGAAGATACTGAGAGAAGCATCAGTGACGGAAAACCAGATAAAGAAAGCTGCTCACGTCGCCCAGAAAAACACGTTGTTTGCTTAATCTCCGAATCTTATTCTAGTCAAAAGGTGAGTGAATTCATTTACTGAAATCGACTGCATTTTGCTTTTAAGATTGATTACAGTTAACGTTAGAACCTTATCTGAACGCTGGCTTCCCATGGCCTTGACTGAAAAGATAAAAATGCATGTTAGTTTATTTTTCACATCTGTTAAAAATAGTCCCGAGAACACAAGACTTCCCTTTAGTGTTTCATATTATAAAATGGGTTAGTTTGTGTCCGAATCCTGATCATGTGACCGTTATTTTAAGGTGTTCCGTCATAGGGTGTAGTCGTCGTGAGCACGTCAGTTTCTTCACAGAGCTGCTAAATTAGTATAACAGCAGAAATCAAGATTGCGCATTACTTCAGTCGTACCGCTGGTTTTAACCCTGGGTAAGATAACATGTCATTTTAAAACGGGGTTATATTGGCCGAATTGCAGCGCTAAAGCTGCAAGAATGTTAACTTACAGCGAGTTGTTTAGCAACAGACAACCAATCAGGAACTCCCTTGGTGCTTACCTCATTAAATATTCACGAGTCTCCACGCCACGTGTTTAGTCTCCGAGTCTGTAGAAAACTGTTGGCTTCGTGTTATGTGAATATTTCAAGCGAGCACAGTGTGGCCACTTTTGCACTTTTGGCCATAGATGGTCAGGCTTTTATTAAAACGGGCCGTGTGCTGTATTACACCATGTCTAACGTTACACCGGATGCGACTTTTGTCCCGGTGTCCTGACATGTTATCCTATCCGTCAGATTGTCCTACCAGGGTTTACTGCGCATGCGCACATCAATACTGAACGCTGAATAACAATATTTAATGTATCTGCATTACTGTAAGGGTAGGTTTAGGGTTGGGGTAGGTGTAGACTTTAATAAAACGCAATCTAATAGGTAGAACAAATTATTGTTGGTTTCCTGTAGCTGTATCCCTTCTAGCCACAACCGCGAATATAACATAATTACAGTATTTGCATTACTGTAAGGGTAGGGTTGGGGTAGGTGTAGATGTTAATAAACCATAATTTTACAGGTAGCATTTTTTTTGTTTGTTTTAATGAGAGGTAGCAAAATCTGACAGGGTAGCACAAATCGACAGAACACCGGTAACGGCTAAAGTTTGTCTACACTGGACGCTTAAAGCTGCAGTCCGTAACTTTTTTTGGTTAAAAATGATCCGAAATCAATATTTGAGCAAGTACATAACCAGCCAGCATTCGAAACTTACTTTAGCCCGATTCACAACGGTTAGCTTATAATAATGTTTTCTAATTTGAGTGGTACGGGTATGTTTTCGCGGGAAATTCGAGCATGCTGCTGCGCCATTACGTCACGTCTGTAAACATAAATAAGTTGTCCAGGTGTCCTGACATTTTATCCTATCCGTCAGATTGTCCTACCAGGGTTTACTGCGCATGCGCACATCAATATTGCGCCCATTTTCTCATGCTGAACGCTGAATAACAATATTTAATGTATCTGCATTACTGTAAGGGTAGGTTTAGGGTTGGGGTAGGTGTAGACTTTAATAAAACGCAATCTAATAGGTAGAACAAATTATTGTTGGTTTCCTGTAGCTGTATCCCTTCTAGCCACAACCGCGAATATAACATAATTACAGTATTTGCATTACTGTAAGGGTAGGGTTGGGGTAGGTGTAGATGTTAATAAACCATAATTTTACAGGTAGCATTTTTTTTGTTTGTTTTAATGAGAGGTAGCAAAATCTGACAGGGTAGCACAAATCGACAGAACACCGGTAACGGCTAAAGTTTGTCTACACTGGACGCGACAAAGTGACCCTTGCAAATCATTTGAAATTTGTGTCAGTACATCATAAATAGAATGAGGCATCAGTTTACTGTCGGGCATTTGTCGTGTAGCGCCACGTCCAGTGTAGACAGCATTACTGATTATAATGGGTTCTACTGTATTTTGTTGCGTCGCTGGCGTCCAGTGTAGACACGGTGTTAGCCAAATATGCAAATAAAAACGTTAATACGGGGTTTACAGATAAACAATGTGAAATCTCGAAACAAGTCATTCCAATGATTAATTACTAACCCGGGATAAAGTATGAACATGTATGAAAATTATGGAAATTAAGTATGAAAGTGTGGACATGAAACAAGACATCCCAGCATTACGTTGCCAGGGTTAACACTGTTGAAAAGGCCTTTTAAAACTAACGTTAGTCTAAACTGATTCCCAGAAGTCTGACTGACCTTTCCGTTCAAGATCAAACCGGCTGATAGTAAGGCGCGGATTGTGTGTTAGAGTATTGTGAAGCAGGGCACAAGAACAGAACAGTCCGCAGAGACTTGGCACAATGAAAAACTTTGGAGGTCAAACTGAAGGATGTGTTCGGCATCTTGCCAGCATGCTCGGCGAGAGCACGGTTCTCGCATGCTGATTGGCTGCCGGCGAATGCAGGGCGGTATATATATGCTCAAATTACATTCTTTGTTCCTTTCGTGCCTTTACATTTGCGAGGTAAGAAGCTCAGCGATGACAGCCTGGAAATGTACATGTTTTTCGGTTTACTATACAAATTTAATAGAAGTATGAACTTTGGGGCGCCTTATATTAGGTATAGTTCATTAAAGTTTGTTTACCTGCCATTATAATTTGATGTTTTAAGGTTCATGGAAATACTTTTGAAATAGCACTGATGCAAAAAGCATATGTTTGATGTTTTTTTACTTGAAATGTTAATCCGAAAACAGCACAAGCTTTTATATTTAGATGTCCAGTATCTTCCAACCTGTATGACTTGCTTCTGAGGAACAAAGAAGGAGATGTTAAACAATGTTAGTTACCTTTCACTTACATTATATAGGAAAAAAATATGCAATTGCAGTGGAAGCGAATGGTGACTGAGGCTGTAGTGTAATGCTTGACATTTCTTTTGTTCTACAGAAGAAAGTAAGTCATACAGGTTTGGAAGGACATGACAGTGAGTAAATGATGACCGTGCATATTTTTGGCTGAACTATTCTTTCATTTGTGTTCATTTGGTTATAATGTGTAAGGCTCTTATAATATGTGCCTGTGTCCCCTCTTGTTTTTCCAGGTAACTGAGTATGCCAGTCATCAGAGCCATTAGTAACGTAGCAAAGCAGGCCCTGTTGGCTCCTGCGTGTGGATGTCAGCCTCTGACGGTGACCATACGCAACATCAGCTTCTCCCCGCGTCAGGTCACCTCTGGATCTGATGCCAGCTTTCATTCTGTGTCCTTCTCTGAAACGGACCACCCCAAAGTTCTCATCACAGGTATGAAAAACGCCAGGTACTTGGGACGTTGGCATTTTTTAAATTTATTTAACTTTTGTAATTTGTCACGTTGATCACACTGGTTTTGGCACATTTTTGAGAAGGGTGGATCCTGACTCCCCTACTGTTTTTTTTTTGTATGATATTTGATCATTCATTTTTTATCTCTCTGTCAGGTGGCCTCGGGCAACTAGGGGTTGGGCTTGCTAAACTGTTAAGGTATGCACATTGTAGTACATATATAAATGTGTTTAGTTTTTGCATAGTAGATGCATTTACAAATGTAATGTTTTAATATGAAGTTTTACATAAAGACGTATATTACATAATAAAGGTATACCTCCTGTTTCATAGGAATCGATTTGGAAAAAACAATGTGATCCTCTCAGATATCAGGAAACCACCAAGCAACGTCTTTCACAGTGGTATGTCTTCTGTTCATCTCAAATGAATTCGTAATAAATAATTTTATGAGAGAAATAATTGGGGTTGCACTTGATTAATGGGTCTGTTATGTTATAATTACATATCCATTTCAACCAGATGTTTGCCAGATGTAATTTGGAGAGTCATTTGTTAGGGCTAATTTATAATTTCCACATGTTAAGGTAATTTAGATGAGTAAAGAAGTGCTAATTATCTTTATTATGGTGGCTAATGGCCTGTTTTGTAAAATGTCTTATAATTAGCTTAGATAATTGATTTAACATTTGTTTGCATGTCTAAAACGGGTGAATGTGCAGTTTTAGCATTTATTTAAATAGTTTAATTAATTTTTAGAGATTAAGGATTTCAAGATTTTTATCCTCATTTCAACATTTAATATTTAGAAATATGTTCAAGGTATAGAGCTAGACTGATCACACCAGTACTGACATGTCGATTATATTTTTTTCACACAGGCCCCTTTATCTACTCTGACATTCTGGACTACAAGAACTTGCGGGAGATTGTAGTAAATAACAGGATCACCTGGTTAGTGCATTACAGTGCTCTTCTAAGTGCTGTTGGGGAAGCTAATGTGGCACTGGCACGAGCAGTCAACATCACCGGTAAAAACTTTAATGCAATTTGTTTATTTGCAATTTTTAAAATGCAATTTGTTTATTTGTCTACTGTTTGCCTCTTTTAATTTTCAATTACTATTTTCAACTAGATCTTTCCATAAAAATAGCCTTTGATAAAATTAGCTTTTGATTTTGATATAATACTAAATATAAATGAATAATAAATTCATTCTAAATCTGTTTTTTTTCTGTAGGACTACACAACATCCTAGACATTGCAGCAGAACATGGGCTTCGGCTCTTTGTGCCCAGTACAATTGGTGCCTTTGGACCAACTTCACCTCGAAACCCCACTCCTGACCTCTGTGTGCAGAGACCACGTACTATATATGGCGTCTCTAAAGTCCATGCAGAGCTCATGGGGGAGGTAAGACACCAGTCACCCTTATTTTAGTATTTCACCTATTTTCTGTGCCGTATGTGACTCGGAATATTAATCTTTACCCACAATCCTTTTCTGCAGTACTACCACCATCGATATGGCCTTGACTTCCGCTGTCTTCGGTACCCTGGCATCATCTCTGCAGACTCGCAGCCTGGCGGTGGCACGACAGGTACGGTGCACTCTGCGCCATCTGTGTTTTTTGGCACATGAGCTTGCTCACGTACGTAAGTGAGGTTATGCAACTAGCACTTGCTCAGAAATGGGTGTTGTTCGCTTTGAGTATTTTTAGATAAACTGATAGCCTGCACCAATGCCAGCCAGCCATATGAACCACACCTCCTACTGCCTGAAGTCACATGTGAAAACTTGAAAAGTACTTCGACAGCTGTTACTGTCATACTGTTGCATATGTGAGACTGCTGACCAAAAAACAGCAATGAGGCATGAAAGTCTGTCTCTATTGGCTTTTCCAGACTACGCCGTGCAGATATTCCACGACGCCGTCAAGACCGGCAAGTTTGAGTGCAACTTAAAGCCAGACACACGGCTGCCCATGATGTACATTGATGACTGTTTGCGGGCCACGCTGGAGGTGATGGAGACGCCGGTGGAATCGCTCAGTATGCGCACCTACAACATAAATGCCATGAGCTTCGCTCCAGAGGAACTTGCAAATGAGGTCCAGAAACAGCTGCCTGATCTTCAGGTCACATATGAGATTGACTCTGTACGACAGGCTATAGGTATGATCCAAAACATCTGCACTTTCCTCAAACATTTTGGTACAAATAAATGGTGCAAATGGTGCAAAAACACTTGTTTTTCGTCTATATAGCTGACAGTTGGCCCATGAACTTTGATGACAGCAACGCCCGCAATGACTGGGGCTGGAAGCACGACTATGATCTGCCAGAGTTGGTCCAGACGATGCTCAACTTCATCGGTTCAGACTCCCGCATCGCCCAGGCCAACTGAGTCTGCTCATGAACACTGAAAATATGTATATTTCATAAAGATTTATAGTGATGCAGAAGAGAGATCCGTGGTCTGTAAATAGTCGTATTCCTTTTCTCTTTTGTGTCCTCAGTATATTCCTTTTTGACTTGCTCAGACTGTCTGTATAATTGTAGATTATACAAAGAGGTCGGGTCTCTTTTCAAGTCAGGGTGGAAAACCGTCAGAGATACACAGGTATTTTGAAAGCTAAATGAAGAGGAATGAGTTTAAACCTGACGTGATACTCTTGTGCTTTGCATTTAGTGAAAAAGGATCACTATGTCTCCAGGAAAAATAAACCAAACAAACATGAAAGTTCAGTACTGAATGTGGTGGATCCTAAAATGTAGCTTCCTCAAATTCTACTCTCTTTCTGAATTTCTATATTTTTCCTTTTATTTAAGAGAAATAATTTTACTGTACCTTTGTAGAAGAACGTAATATATGAGGGAAAAGGCTGATGGCCGAGTTCAGACTAATAGGAATAAAAGTTAGGAATTGTTACAGCAACAGCAGCTTCAACCCATTCTAAAATAAACAGACAAGAGTCTGGTTTAAACAGGGTGGGACTCAGATGTAGGTCCTCAGGGAAGTGAGGGTCGTTATGATAAATGACGTTATCATATCCCTCTTGGTTGCTTTTCCTCTCTTGTGCACTATTTATATAGACGGCTTACAAATTAAATGCAAGATTTGATCTTGCTTCACATTTTTGCTGTAAACTTTAGTAAGGTCACTTTTTGTTAAATGCAATTTCTGTCATTGCATTTGCCCATGAATGTTTTCCCACAGGGAATATATTATCCCATATGTAGGGGAGAGTGGGAAACAGATTTAAATTATTTTTAGTTAAGCTTTGCATGCACATCTTTTTGTTCCTTTGATCACAAAACTTGTCAATAAAGCTTTTATATCTTTAACATTTTGCATTGTCTTTCATTTGATTCTAATTTATTGAGATGCACCTGTATATATATATATATATATATATATATATATATTAAGGATTGTGAACATAATTGATTTTTCCTATTGATTATTGAATAATAGATTAAATCCTATTGCTGAACTGTCAAATAATTGACAACAGCAACACTGTTTTATACTGTTTGTGCATGCACAACAGTTTTATACTGTTTGGGGGGGAGCACATTTTCCTCATTAGGTCATTTATCTTTTTTTTTTTTCCTTGTAGGTTTGGTCCTACTTATCAAACTGCAGAGCATTTTATAGAAAGAAGAAACTTTCTCTCCCACCCTTTACTATTTGCTTTCTGTCTCTCACTTTCAACCCCCCATCTCATAACCAAACGTCCCGTTGACTGCATTCGTTGTGAGGGGGGTTGAACGTGCAACCCTGAAAGGACCCCAGTCGTCATGTTTCAACTAGACGTCAGGAAGGCGTGGCCAGAGCCTCACCTTCAGTGTTGGCCAATCAGAGCGCAGCCGGCTTCTCTTGAAAGCCTCTTGAGCTGCAGATATAAAACCGCCTCTGTGGGCTGATGCAATACTGGAAGATACTGAGAGAAGCATCAGTGACGGAAAACCAGATAAAGAAAGCTGCTCACGTCGCCCAGAAAAACACGTTGTTTGCTTAATCTCCGAATCTTATTCTAGTCAAAAGGTGAGTGAATTCATTTACTGAAATCGACTGCATTTTGCTTTTAAGATTGATTACAGTTAACGTTAGAACCTTATCTGAACGCTGGCTTCCCATGGCCTTGACTGAAAAGATAAAAATGCATGTTAGTTTATTTTTCACATCTGTTAAAAATAGTCCCGAGAACACAAGACTTCCCTTTAGTGTTTCATATTATAAAATGGGTTAGTTTGTGTCCGAATCCTGATCATGTGACCGTTATTTTAAGGTGTTCCGTCATAGGGTGTAGTCGTCGTGAGCACGTCAGTTTCTTCACAGAGCTGCTAAATTAGTATAACAGCAGAAATCAAGATTGCGCATTACTTCAGTCGTACCGCTGGTTTTAACCCTGGGTAAGATAACATGTCATTTTAAAACGGGGTTATATTGGCCGAATTGCAGCGCTAAAGCTGCAAGAATGTTAACTTACAGCGAGTTGTTTAGCAACAGACAACCAATCAGGAACTCCCTTGGTGCTTACCTCATTAAATATTCACGAGTCTCCACGCCACGTGTTTAGTCTCCGAGTCTGTAGAAAACTGTTGGCTTCGTGTTATGTGAATATTTCAAGCGAGCACAGTGTGGCCACTTTTGCACTTTTGGCCATAGATGGTCAGGCTTTTATTAAAACGGGCCGTGTGCTGTATTACACCATGTCTAACGTTACACCGGATGCGACTTTTGTCCCGGTGTCCTGACATGTTATCCTATCCGTCAGATTGTCCTACCAGGGTTTACTGCGCATGCGCACATCAATATTGCGCCCATTTTCTCATGCTGAACGCTGAATAACAATATTTAATGTATCTGCATTACTGTAAGGGTAGGTTTAGGGTTGGGGTAGGTGTAGACTTTAATAAAACGCAATCTAATAGGTAGAACAAATTATTGTTGGTTTCCTGTAGCTGTATCCCTTCTAGCCACAACCGCGAATATAACATAATTACAGTATTTGCATTACTGTAAGGGTAGGGTTGGGGTAGGTGTAGATGTTAATAAACCATAATTTTACAGGTAGCATTTTTTTTGTTTGTTTTAATGAGAGGTAGCAAAATCTGACAGGGTAGCACAAATCGACAGAACACCGGTAACGGCTAAAGTTTGTCTACACTGGACGCGACAAAGTGACCCTTGCAAATCATTTGAAATTTGTGTCAGTACATCATAAATAGAATGAGGCATCAGTTTACTGTCGGGCATTTGTCGTGTAGCGCCACGTCCAGTGTAGACAGCATTACTGATTATAATGGGTTCTACTGTATTTTGTTGCGTCGCTGGCGTCCAGTGTAGACACGGTGTTAGCCAAATATGCAAATAAAAACGTTAATACGGGGTTTACAGATAAACAATGTGAAATCTCGAAACAAGTCATTCCAATGATTAATTACTAACCCGGGATAAAGTATGAACATGTATGAAAATTATGGAAATTAAGTATGAAAGTGTGGACATGAAACAAGACATCCCAGCATTACGTTGCCAGGGTTAACACTGTTGAAAAGGCCTTTTAAAACTAACGTTAGTCTAAACTGATTCCCAGAAGTCTGACTGACCTTTCCGTTCAAGATCAAACCGGCTGATAGTAAGGCGCGGATTGTGTGTTAGAGTATTGTGAAGCAGGGCACAAGAACAGAACAGTCCGCAGAGACTTGGCACAATGAAAAACTTTGGAGGTCAAACTGAAGGATGTGTTCGGCATCTTGCCAGCATGCTCGGCGAGAGCACGGTTCTCGCATGCTGATTGGCTGCCGGCGAATGCAGGGCGGTATATATATGCTCAAATTACATTCTTTGTTCCTTTCGTGCCTTTACATTTGCGAGGTAAGAAGCTCAGCGATGACAGCCTGGAAATGTACATGTTTTTCGGTTTACTATACAAATTTAATAGAAGTATGAACTTTGGGGCGCCTTATATTAGGTATAGTTCATTAAAGTTTGTTTACCTGCCATTATAATTTGATGTTTTAAGGTTCATGGAAATACTTTTGAAATAGCACTGATGCAAAAAGCATATGTTTGATGTTTTTTTACTTGAAATGTTAATCCGAAAACAGCACAAGCTTTTATATTTAGATGTCCAGTATCTTCCAACCTGTATGACTTGCTTCTGAGGAACAAAGAAGGAGATGTTAAACAATGTTAGTTACCTTTCACTTACATTATATAGGAAAAAAATATGCAATTGCAGTGGAAGCGAATGGTGACTGAGGCTGTAGTGTAATGCTTGACATTTCTTTTGTTCTACAGAAGAAAGTAAGTCATACAGGTTTGGAAGGACATGACAGTGAGTAAATGATGACCGTGCATATTTTTGGCTGAACTATTCTTTCATTTGTGTTCATTTGGTTATAATGTGTAAGGCTCTTATAATATGTGCCTGTGTCCCCTCTTGTTTTTCCAGGTAACTGAGTATGCCAGTCATCAGAGCCATTAGTAACGTAGCAAAGCAGGCCCTGTTGGCTCCTGCGTGTGGATGTCAGCCTCTGACGGTGACCATACGCAACATCAGCTTCTCCCCGCGTCAGGTCACCTCTGGATCTGATGCCAGCTTTCATTCTGTGTCCTTCTCTGAAACGGACCACCCCAAAGTTCTCATCACAGGTATGAAAAACGCCAGGTACTTGGGACGTTGGCATTTTTTAAATTTATTTAACTTTTGTAATTTGTCACGTTGATCACACTGGTTTTGGCACATTTTTGAGAAGGGTGGATCCTGACTCCCCTACTGTTTTTTTTTTGTATGATATTTGATCATTCATTTTTTATCTCTCTGTCAGGTGGCCTCGGGCAACTAGGGGTTGGGCTTGCTAAACTGTTAAGGTATGCACATTGTAGTACATATATAAATGTGTTTAGTTTTTGCATAGTAGATGCATTTACAAATGTAATGTTTTAATATGAAGTTTTACATAAAGACGTATATTACATAATAAAGGTATACCTCCTGTTTCATAGGAATCGATTTGGAAAAAACAATGTGATCCTCTCAGATATCAGGAAACCACCAAGCAACGTCTTTCACAGTGGTATGTCTTCTGTTCATCTCAAATGAATTCGTAATAAATAATTTTATGAGAGAAATAATTGGGGTTGCACTTGATTAATGGGTCTGTTATGTTATAATTACATATCCATTTCAACCAGATGTTTGCCAGATGTAATTTGGAGAGTCATTTGTTAGGGCTAATTTATAATTTCCACATGTTAAGGTAATTTAGATGAGTAAAGAAGTGCTAATTATCTTTATTATGGTGGCTAATGGCCTGTTTTGTAAAATGTCTTATAATTAGCTTAGATAATTGATTTAACATTTGTTTGCATGTCTAAAACGGGTGAATGTGCAGTTTTAGCATTTATTTAAATAGTTTAATTAATTTTTAGAGATTAAGGATTTCAAGATTTTTATCCTCATTTCAACATTTAATATTTAGAAATATGTTCAAGGTATAGAGCTAGACTGATCACACCAGTACTGACATGTCGATTATATTTTTTTCACACAGGCCCCTTTATCTACTCTGACATTCTGGACTACAAGAACTTGCGGGAGATTGTAGTAAATAACAGGATCACCTGGTTAGTGCATTACAGTGCTCTTCTAAGTGCTGTTGGGGAAGCTAATGTGGCACTGGCACGAGCAGTCAACATCACCGGTAAAAACTTTAATGCAATTTGTTTATTTGCAATTTTTAAAATGCAATTTGTTTATTTGTCTACTGTTTGCCTCTTTTAATTTTCAATTACTATTTTCAACTAGATCTTTCCATAAAAATAGCCTTTGATAAAATTAGCTTTTGATTTTGATATAATACTAAATATAAATGAATAATAAATTCATTCTAAATCTGTTTTTTTTCTGTAGGACTACACAACATCCTAGACATTGCAGCAGAACATGGGCTTCGGCTCTTTGTGCCCAGTACAATTGGTGCCTTTGGACCAACTTCACCTCGAAACCCCACTCCTGACCTCTGTGTGCAGAGACCACGTACTATATATGGCGTCTCTAAAGTCCATGCAGAGCTCATGGGGGAGGTAAGACACCAGTCACCCTTATTTTAGTATTTCACCTATTTTCTGTGCCGTATGTGACTCGGAATATTAATCTTTACCCACAATCCTTTTCTGCAGTACTACCACCATCGATATGGCCTTGACTTCCGCTGTCTTCGGTACCCTGGCATCATCTCTGCAGACTCGCAGCCTGGCGGTGGCACGACAGGTACGGTGCAC